GCACGAGGTTGTGGTCAGAGTCTTAGACGTCGACACGTTTGACGGAGACATTGCGCACGAAACGCCGGTCCGCCTGACGCATGAGGATGAAGTCGAGGCGGTACTTCTCCTTTCCCTTGTTGGAGCTCTGGAATGTGTGCTGCACTCCACCTTTCGGTGTCCGGAAGTAGGTGTTGGTCAGGGAGAGTTGGTTGTCTGACGCCAGTCCAAGGAGTCGTTCCCCGTTGTTGTTCATAATGTCGCGTCCGTACGCGCCCATAATCTTGGCATCGCAGCACCCGTCTCGCCTCCTACCAGTACGTGCGTTGGCGTCCATTAGCACCACGAGATGGTCACGGCTGTGAACCTCCCGGATCGCTGCGTCGAGAGCAGTCCAGAAGGAGTCCTTGGGGTTAACATCACCGCTCACGGTGGTGCAGACAGATTCCGTGGGGGCGTACCCCACCTACCCCACCACGAAAGTTACTCCGCAGGTGCGGCCAATTTGTAGACGAACCTTCATCAGCCTCGGGCTAATGCACTCCACCGTCCTACCTTCCTCGCCCACACTCTCCCACATGGCCTCCTTGATCGCTATGCCCACACCGTGTACGCCCCTCTTGTCCTTGGTGCCAGCACGGGCGCCACTCCAAATGATCACGTACCCGTCGTGTGCAATTGAACCTTGCCCCGCTCGTCGGGTCTCCTGAAGTCCTATCACATCACAGCCGGTCGCGGAACAAATCTGCATGACCGTCATCACGTTGTGACCGATGGGGTTCCTACCGNCGCGGAACAAATCTGCATGACCGTCACTGCTGTGTGTGTTATGTTGGGAAGTTGTAGACAGAAGATTTAGGGGAACTCGGTTTGTCGGGTGTTCTATTATAGCACCCTTATGTGGTTGCGGAGCAAGCGCGTCTCGAGGTGTCTATAGTTTCGTCATCAACTTATTTTTTGTTTGTGATGTATGGGGGCATGTGCAGCGCGGGAGAACATATTAACCTTGTTGTTTAGTGGCATGTCGTTCAATGTGAGAAGGGCACGGGAGAACGTTATCTCACCACTGCCTCCTGACGTGGCCGCCGATAGAGGCGGGTGGTTGTGGTTTCATCACTGACATGTGGGTGTGTGTTAAATGCAATAGGTATGGTCGCCTCTCTCGCCCGTGTGTCGGCAGAAGGTATAGACTAGCTATCTTTCCCATATATTTTTAGGATTATAAGTAAAGACAGTGTATCATTTCATGCATTTACATCATTTTTTATGCATTCCAAAGAACAATCGTTGATGAAATGTCTTGTCATGTGGGCCGGCGAAATTTCACTACAGAATTGGGATTGGGTGCAAGTATGCAGCGTGGGTCTTGCCTGTGTCAGCGATGCCAAATATTGAGAAGCACGATGAGCACTAGGTAGACCACAACCGTAGCCAGTCACAAAACTGCTTGAATGTATTTAGTCTATCTAGTGGATGGTCCATCCGGTGGTTATCGTGCTTCTCAACACCAAACACGCAAGGAGGAAGACGAGTGTCACCGGTCATTACCGTACAACAAGAGAAAATGAAACGCTGTCTCGACAGAGCTGAAGGGGACAACGTAATTAGACTGTGTCCGCAAAATAGGATTTGACTGAAGATCTAGTCGGCCAAAAACAAGAAAAACCTTCCACCGCAAAACATGCCTGCAGTGGAACTCAAATGACGGCGCTCATGCTGCCGCAGTCAACACAACAAAGCAGCAAGCAACGCCGTATGCTGCGCGATATACTCTTAAACGTTGTATTAAACAAAGCGCCTCGTCACAAAAAAAGCAGCAGTTGCCGACTCCATCAGCGAATGAATCCGACTGCGGATACACTAAACTTCTTCTTCCCTTCAGCTCGGTCGAGACGGCGTTTCATTTACGATGACCGGTGGTACCGCGCCTCCCACCTTGAATACTTTCAACATCGGAGTAGAAAATGCTTTCAACATCGGACTAAAATAATTAGTGGCTTGCCACAAAGAAAAGGCAGTTAGTTGCAGGCGCCGTCCACGTTGTGGTATATTCCGCATCTACAAATCCAACTACCAGATCGGCGAGCTTCGCGCAGGACGCATTGCGTGTCTCGCCGAAGGCATCGATCGCCCAAGCCACCGCTGTGGGCTCTTGTAATTTTTGTTAAGTTTTGAACCATTTGGTTCACCAATGAAAGCCTCCTCGTCACAAAACGAGCCCTGACACAGACAACAAGGGATAAGGCGACAGCAGCATGACACCTCCGCACTTACAACGGTACAATCCGCGGCCCCTTTCTATCTATAGCCCTGAGGACAGTCCCCAAGCTCTCTTCCCGATCTATTTCGGGTAAAAGTATCTGTGCCTCGTTCTCTATTGCCGCCGGCGTTCAACCACCCCCAGCGCCGGAGTGTGCATGCCACAGCAGACGGCGTGGCGACTATGTAACCCGCTGCAACCATTGCTCCTCCTCCTCGTCACAGCCGAGGCAAGAACGAATCGACGATCGTCTTGAAGGGCTCCTCTTGCTTCTCCCAGGCCTTTTCTGGGCACCCCAGGGTAAGGTTCCACAGCTTGTTCTTGTTCACCGAGAGGGTCTTGAGCTCGCGGCGCCCCCCTCCCTTGAACTCGAAGTCCTGGGGTGCCCACCAGGACGCAGCAGAGCGGATCGCCAGTTGTAAAATATATGCATACAAGGCTCCCGTTCGAGATGTAAACACAGACGAAAGGAGTGTGCCGAAGTCTTTTCAGTGAGTGGAAGGAAATGGGCTGGAAACTCGGCGTATTTTTGAGTTTGTTTAAGCCATTACACCAAATTATACCAGCGATACCGGTTTAAGCATCTTTATAGCCAGTATTGCTGAAGCTACCTTACAACTTGGTCAAAGCGATGGTTGGCGGAAAGCTTCCGGGAACTTCCAGCATCCATATACAACCCTAGACGCGTGGACAAGACAGCATCATGCCAGCAGCAGCACGCACAATTTCAATGCCGCCGAATAGGGGAAGGGGGAAAGTTCTGAGGAATATTCACGCGGATTTTGTGCTCGCGCGACTGATTCTCGTTGATTGGAAGCCAAAACAACAGAACAGCATAACCAGGCACGTGTAACACAGGTTGAATAAAGACATGGTTGCGTGCTCTAGCCACACAAACAGCTATGGCGTCTCACCCACACTTAGGCCGCAATCTTTTCGGACGCGCTCCCCAAAATGCCATCTACGACACAAGAAACATCTTCCTACATGTTGGTCGAAGACGTAGGATACGAGCTATACATGGCATAGTTCCAGGTCGAGTGTACACGTCGTCTGCCGAGGGAAAATCATGAATAGCCTCGACACAAACTGCGGATGTTGCATTCAAAAAAGAATAAGAACTCGCGAGAGCACAGGGGGGCGCTGTTCACAGACAGCCGCCACAGCAGCAGGTTAGGACGCGCGGCAACAAATCCTCACGTAGAGCCGGATGCCTTCCGTGACCCGATCCCTTGCGCTGACCAACTCCATGCCCCTGCCCTTGCTCAGCTTCTCGCCGACCTGGGTCACGGACCCTAGCGTGGACAACTACCGGACAAAGGCCGGCGGAAACATTGAAAAAAAGATAAACACAGGAGAATCCGGGGATGGTAAAAAGCATGAGCATCGAAGAGCACACTACGGCACGGCAGGCTGTGGTGGGGGGGACACGCGCAACTCCTCAACAACCGTGGAGTTCATAGTTAGCATGGTTGAGAGCAGGCTTCGGGGCATCGAGAGGATCTATCGCTTTGGTTGTAGGTTTGGAGGGCTCGCTTCGTTGTGGTCGTAAGGTCGACCGGCAGGGTATGATCCGATCGTCGACGACAGGGGTTGAATCCAGCCATCGGAGGCGCGGACACACAAAATGACCGCTAGGCTCGGCCTTCCACCAAAACCTGGAGACCAATACGTGGAATTTGGCCATTGCGTTGACTCATCTACTCGTCAACCTCGTACTTAAGACTACACAGCACCACTTCGACGCGATCGCGCAGTGCTGACCAAAGAGGATAGACTACATGCATGCTTCGGGGAAACATTGCACCGCAGTTCGCCCTTGTAACGCGCGGCCCGAGCGTCACAGAAACCTGAAGGTTGCAGTGGTTCTCGCCTTGTGAGCACGATCAGCTAGGTGTAGGTCTAGTACTACATAGCATAGCCTGGTCCAATTGTAACTGACACGCAAGAACGGACGGCATCTTCGAAGTCTGACACTCTCCCCACCTCGGTGTCGGATTTGACGGGCGAGTTGGTGAGCAAGATAAGCGTGGTGGGGTCAACGAGGTCCACCATCTTGACTGTGTACTCCCCCGAAGTCCCGTCGTAACGGTTCCATCCAAGTGGCTTCGCCAAGCGGTAGCCCTTGGAGACGTCCGCGAAAGGTTCGAGCTTCCCGCCGAGCTTGGTAGTCACGAGCTTCACCTGTTTCGATCCGGTCTGCCTCCCATGGATGTCAAGGAGAAAAAAACGCAAACAGCGGGACGGTATTCTAGTGCGGCTCTGAACTCCACTAATACCCTGTTCAAAAAAGCAAGCATACAATAACCAGTGCATACACACGCACACACACAAGTTGACCTCCCCATGACAATCGGTCACAGGGTCCCATTGGCCTATAGAAGCACTTCGTGTTTTCCACCGCACTGAGACTGACGTGTTTTCATCGGCCAGCCAGTCAGCGCGGTCGATGCTAACAAGAAAGAACGCTAGTGTGTTATCCCGCTGCAAAACGTAACGTCTGTTCATTGGTCAGCCCGATGGCGCGGCCGATGCCGGATAAAAAAAAAAACGAATGTTGAAACCGCTCTTGCCTCCTCTTCATCCGCCACGGCCGCCAACGGCAGCATCACAGCAGAAGCAGCCACGGCAGCAGAAGTCGTCAGGAACTGCGCCCTGTCCGACGGTCCTTCCGCTGACATCCGTACGGCGTGCCGCTTGGGGGAGAATGTATAGCGGAAAGCAAGGTTCCAAAGAGTATGAAAGTCCAGATGGAGGTTGGTGTTAAGATCGGCGCTATACACAGAGAGGAGGAACTATATATGCAAGGCCAGTTCCGATACGAAGGGCTTCCAGGGATGTGAGCACTGAACACATCGAATTGACGACCAATCATTCCTGTCGCTTGGAGGTGTCACTATGGGTTAGGGCTAGGGTTAGGGTTGAGACACGAACAGCATGCCCCATTGTACTTGAAATCGTGCCAAAACAAAGCAACGCTTCGGAAGGGTGCAACGCGTGACGACGTATGTCTAGAATCCCGAGCGTTTCCCCCGGCGGGTGGGTCAGATCCCGTGAATGCACCAGCTGGGCTGTGTGCACACACTCCATCAGATGTGCACCGGACACAAAGAGGGAGGAGGTCTAGAATTCCAACCCCAACAAAAACATCTGTACCCTTGTTTGGGGGCAGATTGCTGTGACCACGGAAGTAGTCCGCGTCAGTTGGACCAGTACGGACATGAGAAGGTACTGAGCGGAGACCGGAACGGTTTTTGAAGTGGAGACAAGAACACCACCACCAACAACAGCTCACGACGCTAATAGGGTTGTCTATCCTGTACACCAAAGCTCACTAACTTTGGTTAGGAGGATAAGCCTCACATGCTCAACAGCGTCGATGCGATCAGGCACTCAGTACCGTTACCGCTGTGTGCCATGCCCGCCGTCTGTTCGCATTTTTCTTTATCTCCCTTCTCTCTCTAGTCTACTCTGCCGTTTTGTTTATCCGTACAAAGTATACAAGGAGAGAGATCCGCCGACGATGAAAAAGACAGGTACGAAGGGCCGGAGGGTGAACACCAAAGTCCAGTGCAACACTACAATAAACCGACATTTGTGGAAGTTGTGTCGGTAGGAGACTAGCGGTGCACGTGCGTGAGAGTCCAACACTGCTGTACCAGAATAAGGTCCGCTGTAAGCAACCTGTTCCATGTACTGCTTGCTGCCTCGGCGCGCCAACGGAGTCTGACATCGGACGAGACAAGAGAGGGTTGTGCATGATTCCTACGTGCATGACGACTCATGTGTTCAACAGGCGCTCATGACAAAGCGCTCCTGAAACACCCGCTCTGTAGCGTACACGCTAGAGAGTCTACGCACGTACCAGAGTACCGCCAGAGACAACAAACATGTACCCGAATCATGGCTACGACGCAGACAGGGGTAAAGCGCGCGCGTGCGTTTGCTGTGTCGGGGAAAGTTGACTGACCTCGAGCGTCGGGTTGCTCCCTGCCCGGACGGCATTCGGTGCCACGAAACCATTGGAACACCCCACCACCGCAGCAAATGTGACAACGCGAAGCATCGTAGTACGTGTGTGGAAGCGAGTCCCTTGTGTGCCTTGACCGGCATGCAACAGCAGCAACAGCTGCGGTAGTCGACAACGTTTCGGGTGTCGTGCGCGCGCGCGGGGAGTTCAATTTGGTTCTGGAGGCGTACGCTATGCCGCACATGTGAAACACGCGAGGCAGAGCGATTGCTAGGAAGTGCTTAGCAGCCTAGAATCAAGAGATGCAAGAAGTTTTATGCTCGTAGGCTATAATAGCTATGCGGATCCACACGTTGCCACATTTGTACACCACTCAAAACTTGTGCGGGGGCAAATCCCAAATACCAAAAATGAAGTAGGCATGTCCGTTGCGGGGTGAAATTGGTTGGTTCACTTTCGCTGACTCGATTTTCGGGAAGGTGGGTTTTTGTGCGCGCGTGTCCTTGAAATCCACACGCCAGCTCAGCCGTGTACGCACACACAAGCAACAACGCCATCGACGATCACAAGGCACCCCGATCAATCACAGTAGTCGTCAACGACTCAATCCACAAACGATGTTCGGAATGAAGACGGCTTGCGCGGCTCTGGCGTTCGTGGGTCAGGCGAACGGATTTGTTCCCGCAGCTCTGGGCCGCTCCGCCCTCCAAACTTCAGGGTCAGCACAGGTGGGTTTAAGTCTAGGGCACGGGATATGGACTCCTGGACAAGGCCGACCGGTGTGGACTCGTCTTGCAGCCACTGTGGGATGCGCTTTGCATGGACAGCAACGTGGTTGCCGGCTAAAAATCCAAGGGTTGCACATGTTTGCTGCACTGCTGTTGATGCACCGGTGACGTGTCGTCCTGTGACCGTTCGCCCATCGAGGCGGACCCTGAGATGTTCATGTATATGTATCACACATGAAGTGAGCGGGCAAAATAGGGGGCGCGCTTCCAGACATGGCTTAGTGTCTGTCCCATGCCGTCCGCATTGATTTTTTTTTGTGCGACACCGTGGTGTGTGTTTATGTTCAATTTGTAGTTCAACACTCTCCATCCAGTTTCTGGTGAACTTCCATGTATGTAGGTCTCCCTCTTCGGTGGCGTATTGCATACGTAGTCCAGTCTAGTCTGGTACAAGTACCTTGTGCAAAATGTTATGTGCATGGTCTAGCTACATAAATAGTCTAGCGTGCATGTAAACTTTGTGTTTGGGCTCGTTCATATCCTTTCACTCGTCTGGGTTGTGTCAACTATTGTCAGAGGGTTAGCTCCACGGCTTTGCGGATGGTTTCCGTCGGCCAAGCGGCGCCAGACTTCAAGCTGAACAACCAGAACGGGAAGCCGGTGACGCTGAGCAGCTTCAAGAACAAGAAGAAAGTGGTGGTGAGCAATGAGCAGTTCGCCGTCGGTGGATTATCTACCAACACTCCTACTTCTTGGCACCACGGATGAATTTCGACATGTGTCTTAGTCCCTTGAAGAATTGCGACCGTATCCAATTCCTGTTCCTCGTCTGAGTAACTCGTAGTCTTTCCGCTTAGCCTCCAGGCTGCAGCGTCAAGCTGTCCGCCTAGCTAGCGTGCTGTGTTTGAGGCCGGCGTCCAGCACGGCGACAAACTCAGTCTCCTCCGAGAGTGGCTGGAATCGTAACGAATAATCTTTGGTGGCTTTCGCGAGAGTCACGGCCTTAGCCGCTGTCAGCTGAGCCTCGGGCAGTTGGCATCGTAGTCTCTGTAATCCCGGGTCCCCTTCCGTTCTTCCATGTAGTACGTTTGCTACCGGGCTGCACACTGGACTCCGCCTGAGACCGGGTGTCTTGCTCCCCGTCGTCGTCGTGCTGAGAATGCGCCGGCGAGCCCAACACCTGGAAGGGAAATATGGCGATATGGCTGATGTGGGCGAGGCCACCGTGTGCGGGGTACTTGCATCGGCACGGTACCTTCTGAAGTACCCCGCACACGGTGACCTCGCCCATCCCAGACACGACGACGATCAGAAAGACACAGCTTGTTTTTAGGCGTGATGGCAGACGAGTTGCAGGCAGGTACAGAGGCGAAGAGATCTAAGGAAGAGATCCTCGCCCACACCCCGGAAAAGCAGAGACCACGAATGTAAGTGCCTGGAGCGGAGCTCGCCGCGACTGAGGCCGTGGCTCTCGCGAAAGCCACCGAAAGACTCCGTTTGTTACGATTCCAGCTCCGCAATCGGTCTCTGGGAGAATAATATGTTTTATGTTTATCACCGTGCTGGACGCCGGCCTCAGACACAGCACGCTGTGCAGGGGGACAGCTCGACGCCACAGCTTCGTGGCTAAAAGTGGGAGAGCCTATTATTAAGGAGAAGAGGCACAGCAAGTGTGTAGGGTCGCAATTAGTAAAGAATTTGATAGTAAACACGTCGAAATTCATCGATGGTGCCAGATAGGAGGTATGCTTGTGTAGTCGCCAAAATGTCGTAGATGCCCCTTGCTCTAGTGTGCAGCCTCCCGGTTTCTCCCAAACACCACCCGAGCCACCTGAACCTCGCTGTGGGGGAATAGAGATTGCTTTTAATTCAGATAGGGGTTATCGAAAAATACAACAGGTGACACCGAGTGACGCGGTATTAAAAAGCTGTCCTCATCAGTGGCAGGCCTTTTTTCCATTTTCGATGTTGTCGACGCTCGTCGACTCAGTTTGTGAGCGTCCTCACCCCTCGTCATCTCTATTGACAAGCGCCCAGAACGCGCCATACCCACAGCTTTGGCATTTCCACTGCTTTAACCTGCGAAGAGGGATCGCCGACAAAAGACCCTTTTCGATGATCGAGACAAAGCATACAACCCTTCTGGGGCTTCCACCATATCGCCAGATACCCCGCAGGTCCCCCGTAGACGTGTATCGGCTTCTGAATCTTGTACGCCCCAAACGATACTTCCTGTCACTCCCGGCCAGGTGTTCTTTTACCCCAAGGACAGCACGCCAGGCTGCACGAAAGAGGCCCAGACTTTCCAGAGCGACCTCGCAAAATTCAAGAAGGCCGGCGCGGAAGTGATCGGAATCAGCAGCGACGCTGACCACACCGAGTTCGTGAAGGAGAACAACTTGAGCATGACTCTGTTGAGCGACATCGGCGGCAAGGTAGGGACCTTCCGTGAGGCATTGCTTTTGTCGCACAGGCCTGTGTCGGTGGGATCTGTGTTGCGTTGGTATCACCCGTGCTGCACGTTCATTTGACCCCGTCTGTTTGCAGTGAAGCAAGGAACAATTTGACTTGGTTGGTGCTGGTTAGATCTTGTATCTCGTGGCACCCTTCACGTTGCAAGTACATCAATCTGTGAAAGTTGATCACTTTGCTCCTCGCTAACTTAGATCGCCCTTCCTACTCTGGCCCCTCTTGTCGACTATCAATGATAACCGCACACCTGTAGACGCTGATCTCAGTTGGCGTCTTATCACTATCTCACCGCTATTGGCTGCAATTCTCATCACTTGATCATTTCGTCGTTGATTGCTGCCGACAGCGACGGAAACCTTCTCGCCTAGTGGATGTACGGAGAAGTCTCCATGAACAAGAACGACTGACAGACCTGTCTAATTTCGACTTCACCTTAACCCAGACTCAGAGGAAAGCAAATAGCCTTGTTCGACCTTTGGATTTTTTCCCCTTTCTCCAGACCATCTTTACGCCACCACCCCTCGTACCTCGTCACTAGCGCCTTGCCGCTGATGGGCCCTTGGTCGAGAGGTTGCACCATACCCCGAACCGAGCCCCCTTTCCTTGGATGTCCCTTTTTGTCTTGCTTGACCGGAACTTCGCAAAATCAGGTGCGCAAGGCGTGGAAGGTGAAGGGCGCGGTGTTCGGCACCATCGACGGCCGTGTCACGTACGTCCTGGACAAGAACGGTATCGTAACCAGCATGTACGACAACCTCCTCGACGGCGCCGCCCACAGCAAGGAGGCCCTCAAGGCCCTCGAGTCATGAGGGAGAAGACAGCATTAGCTGCCCTTGCTCATGTCGAATTGAGCATTGTCTCGGACGAGAGGCCTTACCGTTTTTGTGGATCGGTACAATACTTCTGTTCGAGCGATCATTCCTAGAGCGAACTCGATGTGTCTGGCGCCGTTAGGTTCAACTATTTTGTTAGGTTTCTGAGTTGTGAGGTTAGGGATGATGTGTTTTTGAAGGCCCTTTTCTACTGGCGTGGTAGGTCCGTTTGGCTCAGTCAGTTGAAGTAACATATCCTTCATGGTGTTAAGCCCCACAAAGTGAATAGAATGCGGAACGATTTCGAGGCAAGTTGTTGGCTTGCGCTCTTTCTCACGGGCGGACTGGCTCGTTTTTCCACTCACCTCGGTCTGTTTCGATGCTTACTCACGGGCGGACTAGCTTCTTCGTCTTTCCACCCATCTCGGCCCGTTATGATTGCTCTACACAGCAGAAGCATCCTTTAGACACGCCCCGAGCGAGTATTGTCCCTCGGTTGACCTCTATACGCAAGGGTACATTGGTCGGTATACCAACCGGCTCCTGGTGGTGCCTTCTGTCTGTGCGCGGTGAGGCGTAAGCGTATCTCGCATGCATTCGTGGGATTTGGGCGGGGCCATGGCGATTGCGTTCTGGATTCTCACGTGGCAGGGCGAACCCCGAGTCGTCGATTGGACGGCATGGTTGTCCCCAAGAAACGGAACGATGTCCCTCGATACACCCACACACAGCCAGCAAGCTGGTAGTAAAATGCTGATGTTTTGAATTGCTGCAAGCTTGAAAGTGGCCGAACGAAGACGCCCGCGGCAGGCAAGGAAACACGTGCTGTTTTTGGCGATGGAAAAAGGGTATTGCCTTTGAAGGACCAGAGCGAATATAAGCTGTGAGTACATTTCGAGATCCGGTGTATCTATGGACGCATTGAATTTTTCTCTCCATAGTTTCATGCGGTCGCCCCGGTGGTCTAGTTTTGTTTGGTTGTTTGTTTTTCTCCCATCATTGGACTCTGTCGTCTGCCCCTCTGGCCCCTATCCTCCACTTCTAGTAGCTAGACGACCCAACCGGGTTCACATAGGAGGGGGGGGCTGGACCCCCTCCTGCGGTTCCTGCCTGAGGGATTTNCCATGATCTGGCCCTTAGCAGGCTGCGAGGCTACCCACTAGACCATCGGGGCGACCTAGCGTTATCCTCGTAATCCGCTAGTCGCAAAGTTCGTGAGTTCGAATCCCCACGGGGTGAACAAGTTACGAAATGTGCGGGTGAAAGCGAAGTATAAGTAGCTGACAAGCTCTCATGAGTACCAAACTTCGACGTTGGCACCGTTGACGAGGGAAAGGGACGGCTGGACCCTTCTCGCGATAAAAATAAAATACAGCACGCATCGCAGGAGGAAGGTGGGGCACGAAAAGAAATACAACGAAGAAAAATGCCCTGGTGTTTACCCCCTCCCGTGTGACCCTGAATGGATGTTGTAGTTGTACGAAAAAATACACTGAAAAGTGTAGTGCTCTACATGCGCTGAAAAGTGTAGTACACGTCTCACCACGAAAAATGGGGGGACCGTCGCCATAATAAATGGGACGGAAACACACACACTTAGACTAACCCTTTTTCTGTCCTCCGCTCTTTCCATCAGTGGCTTCCTAGATTCGAGCGAGGCCATTTGTGTAGCTGAGATGTGTGTCTGCGTGAAAGAATATGTAGAGAGAGTCGTATTGATTGGCATTCGCATCCAGCGCATTGCGCATTTTTCGAATTTCGGCCCTCTTCCAGGGACCTTGATTTTTAACCGCTGGCACTGACGTGTTTTAACTCGTCAGCCGGTTAGCGCGGTCGACGATGTTAATGATAAAACACACACATGCGGGCCTCGCTTCATTTATTTTTCGTTCGCAAAACCATATGATGGCTGAGATAATTCATTGTGATGCATGGAAAGCAATCAACCCAGATACCGTGGACAATGTTGACTGTTTGCGTTTCTTGGGCGCGTCTGTGGACCGATCTACATACAACAAGAATGTTGTGCTCTTTGTGGCCCTCCGCGTCGCTGTTGTCTTCTCATGGACTACATATATATTCAAACCCATGCACACATTTCACAACCACACGGAAGGACTACATATAGATGGCGCCCGCACTTCAGAACCTCTACTTTGGCCGGGGCTGGGGTTCTTGTTTTGCTGATCATCCTCTTGTGGGCTACAAATGGCCGCTATATGGTCTGTAGGGTTTAGTGAGGGGTTCTTAACGGAGCTCACAAATAAATGGTGCTCAAGTTCTCAGCGTGTGATCTTTTGCGAGTCTCAATTTCGCAACTGCTATTCGAGATAATACCGTTCCCAAACAGATTTGTGGATATCATTTTACCGATTCATGGTTCGCGTACCATGACTTTATCGAAACACACTGCTGTGTAGACTACATATACATCTAATCTGATGGCTTTGTGTGCCGTGAAGCCGAGGTTCGTTGGTCAAACTCTCCATGTAAAAAATATGCGCATAATACAACATGCAGGGTCTCACACCGCCAGCGTTTGTGCTAAATGATCCTCCTCCGACAGCAGCCGAGTGATGAGTTCTGCCTTGACCTTCTTAGAATGATGCCAGCAATCATTGCTCATGAAACCCACCCCAACCAATCGCACACGGGGTATTTCAAGGTAGTATTTGATGTTGCAGCCTCCGCGCTATATTTATTATTGCATACCGCTCACGGACAAGCCTGCAAAGTAGAACGTGACCCCTGTCCCCTTTCTGCCGTCCGAGATGGGAAAAGCCTCCGCCGCCACGGCTGTAAATGAAACAGCGCCGAACAAAACAAAACTGGTCGAGGTGTGAAAGGAGCTGTCGCCAGGCATCCGATCTACTCCCCTATCCTGTTGTTTTCGATCTTCTGGTGATCCCGTGCGCGTGCTGCGCTCGCGTGGTCCTTTCGCCGTAGGTATCGAAAAATCTCGTCACTGCTATGGCGAGCTACATGGGGAAGGACAAGGAGGCGGAGGTGAGAGAGGGGTCGCCTCTTTTGATCCGACATCATCACATCGCGTGTGCTTCCACACAGCCCCCTTACATCATGCCGGGTTCACGGCCGGCCGAGCGTATCGCTGGTGTCATGTTTGCCGCTACGTTGATCGGGGTAGCGGCTTCGCCCGTCAGGCGCTACGGAGGGTTCGGTGTTTCGGGTCCCTTTTGAGTTTGTTGCCACCCTCCCCCGGCCATGCCTTTGGGCAAGGGCTCTCTGCGTTGCCGCATCTTGTTGACCGCCATGTGCGAACCCGCGGGACATTCATCACGGCGGCCATCCTTGCGTAGAGAGGGATGAGAACGGTCTCGCCACCTGTCGCTATCGTGGGAGGGTGTGCTGTGTGCTTGCCCGCGTTAGGTTTGATGTCTGATTTGGAGTTTTTCAGTTTTCGCGCTTGTTTCACCCTTTCAAATTTGCACCACCGCCAAAGAAAGACAGCAAAACCGGCCCATGGAGCGAAGAGAGCGATTGCCTTCTGGTTTGCCCGGGAAGGCATGACCGAGGGATCACGTTCCCTCCTGAACCGAGACCCTTGAATTGCTGTGGCCTTGTGGCAAAGCGCAGAGACATACCGGACCGATTCGTTTATTTTTTTGGTGAAGGTGGATTAGTCGCGTCTCGCTGTCTCGTGCGGCGCACAACCAAAACACGCCATTCCCCTCTCGTGTAGGTTTGCGAACAGTTTCAAAAGTCGGGAGGATACCTCACAAGAATGGCCACCAAGCTGACCACTGCTGTCGTCGTTGAAGCCTGTTATCCAGAAGGGAAAAGATGACTGTATGGGGAACAGCAGTAGGAACAGCTTGGTCGTTGAATGCTGTGAATTCATCTGTAATATATCCCGGAATCTTTCATCCAGTGTGGTTGTAGAGACGGATTATTCGTTCGAATGTGTCGGAAAAAAACAATCTCGTGGCGGAAGTCCCTGCGGCCGGGCTCTCGATTTGCTGTTCGTTGACGCACACGGAGCCGATGCTGTCATCACGGATCCAAAGGTGTCGTTAGCGTTTATATGCCCGTGATACCATGCCAACTTTGTTGAATATATCATAAATAAATAATAAAAAAAAATAATAATAATAATTAAAAAACGTAAGCATACGTCTCAATTCTATGCATATCTACTCCTACAAAGTGGGCCGTAAGAAGTGCAAGTAGTTCGCATGTTTGCATTGTGGTTTGGACCAAGGCAGTTGCAGCACCTCAAGCGTCAAAATCTCTGCGAAAAAAATAAAATGTTCCCATGCATACCCCTGTATCATGAGCATACGACTGACCTACTAAAACCAATGTTTCGACGGCCCTCCCCCCTACCTGCAGCGCGCGAAGCTGTTTAAGGCCGGTGTAGGAAGGGATGAGGCCCGCCGCGGCCGCAGCGAGACACAGGTCCAGATCCGCAAAGAAAAGAAGGAGGAGCGCCTCAACCAGCGGAGACGCAAGGGCGCCGCGGGGGATGCGCTCGGAGCTTTCTCGTTCGCCACCATCCCCGAAGGCGGCGCGCCGGCGGCGGGGACCAACGCCGTCGACACCCCGGCCCACATGCGGGTAGGTTGTGTGTGTTGGTGTGTGTTGGTTTTTATTGAACCCAACCTGCTGCTTGCCTCTTTTTTTTTTGTCGCGACCCAGGTCTTGCCCATGATAGGCGGATTTATTGGACGTCTATGAAAACATGCATGACAGAGCTTGAAAGTCATTCGTCGCAACAGGTTGCAGCGGCAGCCGCAGCTTTGCTGCCTGGGCACATTCCTCTTGCTGGGTGGCATGCGTAAGAGGGACGGCGACCACGCATCCCCTATCCCCGCCTTTGTTGCCAGGATGCCACCGGTCCAGCCTCGCACTTTGTGTGTCTTGTCCCTCTCATTGTTTCCTTGTCTCCTCGTGCCGATTTCGTCTTCACACTACCTCCCGATGTGCGTGAATCCTCGCTGAATTCGCTGGACTCACGGGTTTATCTCTTCCGACGATGGTTTGGTTTGTAGAGTGGCCCGGTAGGTTGTGAACCCTCTGCAGGCATAGTAGTAGGCCTTGCTGGCGCCTATAGGTGGCGATTTTGTAGGCGCCGAACACACGGGGTAGGTTTCCATGTAAACGCCAACCGTCTTACTTCCGCTGTCGCCGAGGTGGATGACATCCCGATGAACACGTGGGCCCCGTACCGCTACACGCGCTGGTGGAAGGGACAGCAGTTTCAGGAGCGTTCGGAGGCGTGACCTTTTTTCAGTCTTCCAATCCCCATCGCAGTCCCGCTACCCCCATTCATGGTGCGCCTAGAGCATAGCCCTGATCTCTCCCCCCTTGCCGCGTTGGTTTCAGCTCGACCAGTTGCCTCAACTCGTGATCGGAGTGCAGAGCCTGGACCCGTCCGTTCAGCTAGACACGACTACGGCGTTCCGGAAGATCCTTTCGATTGGTGCGTGTGTTTGTGTCTGTGTTGTCGCCGCTTGCGCACCCGGCTTTTTGTTGGACAACCTGCTCGTTTTCTAGTGGTGCGCTGAGGCTTCACACGATCGAACGTGTACTCTTGGAAGCAAGAGGGATGCCGCTACTACATACAAAGCGTTTGCGTCGGGCGAGCCGAGTTGCTGGTTACGGTGTTCTCGGAGATAGAGGAAAGCGCGGCAGATGCAACGCTAAGGCGACTAGCTACCACATACAAGCGTTTGCGTCGGGCGAGCCGAGTTGCTGGTTACGGTGTTCTCGGGGATAGAGGAAAGCGCGGCAGATGCAACGCTAAGGCGACTAGCAAGTTATGGGGGACTGACCAGTTGTGGGTTTGCAGTTAGCGTTGGTGGTCTCTTGAAAGCTTGTGTTGACGTCTTTTCTCCCTCTTCCCGCCGATGATATTTTACACATCGACAATGTTCGCAGAGCGCAACCCGCCGATCCAGAACGTGATTGACGCCGGCGTGGTGCCGAAGTTCGTCGAGTTCCTCCAGCGAGATGACAACCCGGCGCTGCAGTTCGAGT